GTATCCGCTGTTGGGGAATTATGATTTAAGGGTATATTCCTTAATTCAGGAGTATTGGGTTCTCTGGACAATCAGCGATCCAGAGGATGGGGTGGCGGGTATGGGAGATGATCCCAAGCCCACATGCCTAAAGCCACAAAGTCAAGCTTCAAAGCACATGCCAGACCTAAGCCCTACACCTCCACGCCAAAATCCAAATCCTATACCAAACCCTAAGGGTCCAAGTACCCAAATAGTAGGGTTTCAAGGTCCAAAAACCATTCAGAGTATGGATTTTGGGACCTAAAACCTGATTATTTGGGTACTCGGACCTTCTGGGAAACAAGCCAACGTCCCTGGTTTACTGAAACCTTAGAAGCGATCCGGACTTGCATCACACGACACTCCAAACTGTCAGACTTGAGGCCTTTGCGATTTAGGGCGGATGGGATAAAAACCAGCTGACTTGACTAGCCAAGGCTGTATGAACCCCAAGCCCTAAACCCTAAACTGTGGGTTTCGTTTTTCTCATGTGGAAAGACTTTTGGTCGTCAGCGGCCTCCGTGCAAGGCAGTAAAGGGTCGCATTAACATATATATTTAGTATTTAATTATTTATGTATCTATGTATTTATTTATAAATATGTGATTGCATGTGTACAATATTATATATATATATGTATTTATTCATATATATATATATATATGTGTGTGTATTTATATATATATATATACACATTTATTTATTTGCACATGCATATACTGCTTTCTAGCACAGGGATAGATAGTTTGCAAATGGGACACATGGGACAGTGGTCTGAGGGTTTGGGATGCTCTGCTTTGGGCCTTCCAGCATCTGCACCGTAAACCCTAAACCGAAACCCTGAACCCTAAACCCTAGACCCTAGACCCTAAACCCTAAACCCTAAACCCTAAACCCTAAACCCTAAACCTTATAAACCCTAAACCTTAACCTCTGAAGCCTGCACTTGGCTGAGGAGCACTCCTGGCTGGCATCCTTATCGATTTGCTGGGGACCAAGGCCATCAGCATCATGGTTTTGGGTTTAGGGTTTGGGGTTTTAGGGCTTAGGGTTTTAGGGTTTTAGGGCTTTAGGGTTTAGGGTTTTAGGCTTCAGGGTTTTAGGGTGTATGATTTAGGTTTTAGGGTTTTGAGGACCAAATGACCCTTAAAAGTACGGGCTTTATTCCCATATACTATGGATCCCTATATGGTATATGAACCTTAAACCCTTTTAGGGTTTATTTCGTCCCTAAGGCCTAAGGAACCATAAGCCCTGCAATTTAGAAGAAGGCCTAAACCCAAAGCCCTAAACTATAAGCCCTGCAGTTTGGAAGAAGGCCTAAACCCTAAACCCTAAAACCCTAAATCCCCAAACCCCTAAACAATTTGGAAGAAGGCCGGTGTCCTGCTCGCGCTGCTCTCCGACGCAGCTGGCAGCTTACTCTTGGGCCTGTCTCCTGCGACGAACCTTTGAGATGGCATGGACGTAGAGGGTTTTGGGTTTTGGGGTTTAGGGTACATGGCATGGACGTAATATTTTGGAGCCTAACTAATTACCTATACTACCTTTGGGGGTTCCTGGTTATATTTATAGTATAATGGGCCCAAGGAAAGGGTTTTGGAGTATATTATACTGTAACTTTAAGAAGGAGCCCCCAAAACCCTATTCTAATTATTAAGGCCCCCCATGTTAGAACTTGTAGAGTTTAGGGGTTGGGGTGTGGGGTTTTGGGTGTGGGGTTATGGGTGTCGGGTTTGGGGTTTATGGTTTCGGCTTTTGTGTTTGGGGCTCTGAGTTCCAAGTTAAGGGTTTCTGGGTTTCAAGTTAAGGGTTTAGGGTTTGGGTTTAGGGTTTAGGGTTTAGGGTTTGAAAAGTTGAGTGCTTACCCTAAGGGTCCAAGTGCCCAAATAGTGGGGTTTCAAGGTCCAAAAACCATTCAGAGCATGGATTTTGGGACCTAAAACCTTACTATTTGGGTACTCGGACCCTCTGGGTTAGGGTGTTGTAGAAGCTTTGGCCGTCCACATCAGTCTCAGCAGGCCCAAGATCCCGCATGATATGCAAAGCAATGCTTAGAAGCACGGTGTAATGTAGGGGCCTTAATGACTAGAATATATGTTTTTTTGTTTGGAGGGGGGGGGGGGGCTCCTTTTTATGATTTTAAATATATATATATATATATATCCCCAAAGCCTATTCTAATTATCAAGGCCCCTATATTCGTGTAGCATAGCAGGCATTGCCGCAACCTGTCCATTAGTACAAGGCGTTCAGATCTTCTGCTTGTGCGCGTGTGTAAAGGAACACGAAGTGCCCGCCTGCAAAACGGATGTTCCTAACCCCTAAACCCCTAAACCAAGACCCTAAACCCTACCTGGGCCCTCTGGGGTCTCATTATTTCCGCCTGCCTGTTTGTCAAGGTGTATATACGACTGCCAGGGTAGAGAAACGCCTTCAAGGTAAATTTCTGCCTTCGGGATTTCGGGCTTCTGGCAATAATTAAGGGATTTTACATAGTGGTTATGATGTCCTATTATTGCCCATGAAAAAGCTGCCCTATCTGATCAAGCTATCGCATGAGGTATGCTCTTGCTCATTTGTGGAGTCTCGCGAAGTCACCCAGGGCCTTGTATAACCACATATAAAGCCTGTATATGTTTATGTATGTACCTATATATCTATCTATGTGTCTATCTACCTATATACATCTATCTATCTATCTATCTATCTATCTATCCAAGCACCCAGGTAAAACCAAAGCCAACCTTAAAAGCTGCATGCAAGCATGGAGCGCCTCATCGAGCACACGGGGAGGTCGAGACGAGGACCGATGAGCAGGGCTTTGGGTTTTGTGGGTCAGGCTTCTCGGTTTAAATTTGAATGCCTACATAGGCTTGTAGGTTTTACTTAATTGGGCACAGCTTCATGCCAGGGTTTTAACTCGGGCCAGAACATCAGAAGTTTAATAGGCAATGGGCACACGAAAAATTAGGCTTGATCCACACCCTCTTTAGCCACTCAGCTTTTCCAGCGAGCTTGCGCATCATTCACACCTGTCAGCGCGTGCGTGCACGTTTGCGCTTGCAGGGACCAAGTCTCACCCTAGCACGAGCGTGCGGTCCATCGCCATGCTTTTGCCAGTCCTTCAGAACAAAAGAGAATTTGAGAAGATAGTGCTGTAAGAAGTGCTTCTCGAAGGTCGCCTTCTTGAATCCGATGCGTCGAGACTGTCGCGAAACTCGGCCTATAAAGTCTTCCGACATACTGCAATCCCAAGCCGCTGGATTGATGATTGTCTGCTGGTTTTTCTGAAGTGAAGCTTCGAAGTCATGTTTATAATGACATAGTGCATGGTACTTCGGTGTGAGGCCGAACAAAGGTATGTTCCGAATCAGGCAATATTGCGCAAGCCAAGCATAGCCTCGTAGGAAATCAAAAAGGGCCTTGCGAAGAAAGCGAGTGCAGCTTTGCCCCAGCCAAAGGGAATGCCCATGGACTCCTTGAGAGAAATTCAAGCCTCCAGTCACAGCCATCTCAATGAAAGTACAGGCGCGGCAAGTGCTAAAATCATGGCCCGTGCTTGGAGCACGACCACGACTTCGAAGCTGTACCAGGAGTACCCGTAACCATTTCAGAAGCACGATTGTGTCCGACCCCTTGCATCCAAGCCAAGGGAACGCTCCTCCACTGGCAAAATGCATCTTTTTCTTGCTGAAGCTTCTGAGGCCCCCAACATGTAAAGACGCAGCTTCCATAAAAAGCTGAAACTGTCTCCAGGCTCTGATGAGCCTGTTTTCCACAGACTTTGACTCATCTTGAAGGTCGAATGCTCCCAAGTTGCACAGCAGCAATATTGCCGAGGCCAAAAAGTTACGCGCCACACCTGATCGCAAGAATCGAATTCTGGCAGCCAGAGAAGTTGCACACACCCTTACATATATATGTGTGTGCATATAGAGACACATCTATATGTGTGCCGGCAAGCAGTATAACCCTATATATATATAT